TTTTTTTGGTTTGTTTTTTTTGTTTTTTTTTTTTTTTTTTTTTTTTTTAACATTTGGCAGTATGGCATTAGCAGTGGTATGGAGGAAGCTGAAGATTTGCAAATTATGTGGTGATTGTATCCAAAACTGCTGAAATCTTTTGAACTGTATCAAACAGAAGCCTTATTTCCTCTTCAATCATTAGCATAATCTGAATGTCAGTAATCCAAGATAAAGAGTTTAGCCAAAAGACTATAAGGCATAATGCAGAATCTTATTAACTTGAATTTTTTGAACCTGTGTCAGGGTATGGTGTAGTGAAACTTCTCATTAGTTTATTAGGATTTTCAGCAAAGAATGTGCAAGTGTTTATCTATGCGTATGTCTGGGTGAGTTCATTACTCTGAATCGCTCTAAATATTAGAAGCGAACATCAAGCTTGCTTATACAGATGTGGAAAACATTTTTTTAGCCTGTTTTTCTTAGGTATTTACCTTCAGGAATTCAGGGTTTGGAAATTGTGATCTTGTATAGTGCATTTTTAGTTTTAAAATAAACTAAATTGTCTTTCTTTTCAGTTGTTCTGATTGGCTCATAAACATTTGTCGAAGAAAGAAAGACCTGAAGGCTCGCACAGTGTGGCTTGGGTGTCCTGAAAAGTGTGAAGAAAAATACCCCAAAAACGCCATAAAAAATCAAAAGTACAACATCTTTACCTTTATACCTGGGGTAAGGCCACTAAACATTTTCTGGTGTTGTGCTTGACTGTATGTTCTGTAGTATTTTTTGACTAATCCACAAAAAGATAATTTTATTTTACCATGTCCTTCTTTTTCTTTCTGTATTTGTCTCAATGACTTCAATGAAAATTAACAGTTTCAGCGTAAGTCTGCATTTTTATTAAATTGTTTGGGTTTTGAAGGGACATGTACTTAATTGCAGTTTGAGTGGTTGGAATGCAATGAAGCTTTTCAAATTTGAGATGAGTTTCTTTGCACTTTTCTATTCAGCATTAGAAATTTATAATCCTTTTTTAAAAAAGTAACAGTTCTACATGCAAAGGATTCATTTCACTTGAGAAGTAAATAGATGAAAATTTCAATTTAGTCCCATGGATCTTTCCTCATACTCCTTGCCACTGAAAGTATAATAAATAATGAATTCCAAAATGGACAGCTCCTTAAAGAACAAAAACAACTGACATCTTCAATTTGTATCACAAGTAGGCCTAATTTAATGCTTTTCAGAGTTGCATTTGTTATTGCAGTCTTTTTGCAGGTATTTTTGACTTTGAGTGCTGTTCTTCAGCAAATACTTCAGTTGTGGAGTGAAAAGTTTTTTTGTCACTTTTTTTGTAAGAAGCCATATTGTGCCTTAATTTCAGTTTTCTGCTTGTACTATACACCATGTATGTGAAGACAAAAGAGACATTACAGTTTTGTCTAGTTCACAGTTTTTTTAAAAATGTGTTGTTATAATGAAAGTTAGCAACAGAGAAACAATTTTTGAAACTTCAGTAGTTAAACCTAAAAATGTATCTTAGTGTGATATTATAAATTTTAGTATTACACTTTTAGTCATATTTTTACAAATACCATCCAAGAGTCCTGTGTCCCATAGCAAAGACTGACTGTCTTGTACTTTTGAATACATTGAATGCTTTGTCTTAAATTTTTTATTTGAGTGATCATGCTGATTTATAAGAGTATTGATTCTATTCTTCTGGCCTCTTTAGTCCAAAGACTGGCAGGTGTTTTGTAATGCATTTCCTTATTAAAACAACAACAAAAAAATAATGGCCTTGTAATTAAGACTGATCTCCTGTCAGGAAAATAAAATGTCACTTATCACATGTGGATAAAATATTCTCATCATTATTGGACAAAATAAATGTTTTCTTCCAAAGTTTAAATTATTAAATACACTGAAATTGGTTAAGCCACATATGCTTTCCTAAAGGTCACAAAATTCATTAAGCATATAGTAAGCCATTGATTATTGCAACTCGAAATCTGCAGTGTGGATTACAAATCGTGAACCAGATTCGCGTTCCTTATAGGGATCAGACATAGTTTGCAATTCCCTATTGTGAGAGAGAATGTTTGTTCTTTTCTGATCTTTTAAAAATCTTGGTTTTACCCAATAGGTGAAGTCAGATTTTTAATTTGGTGCTAGTATTTGAAAACTCAATAGTAACTTCAAAATGAAGTGAGATCCTAAATATAAAGCCTAATAGTTGAAAATGAAATGTTTTCAAATTTTAATTTTAGATATAAAGTAAGATTTTTCATTTATTAAAATATTGTGTAGCTGTCTTTTTTATGCTGCTTTACTAGAAGTAATTTGTAGGGAACATCACTGTATTGGTTCCAAACCCATAAATATAACAAAATCATAAATATTGACTCCAGTGGTCTTCTCTGGTTGAGATTTTCATCATATGAAATTTTATGTTCTCTTCTGTAGTTTTTTAAACATTGAGGCTGGCAGTGGGTAATATTCAATTATTTCATATCCAAATACAAACTTAAAATAATGCTTAGATTAACAGAATTTTACCTGCTGACTAAAAGAGCTGTAACATTTCTAAAATATCAGCAAATTTCTGAACATTCCATAAAATACTTGCTGCTTTTTCCTTTATACCAGTCTGTTTAATTTCCATTAACAATTTCATATACATCTTGATACAGCTGCTTAGGAATTTTGCATGAGTTTCCATAAAACATATCTTTTGTGATGGGTGGGTTTTGAAGATACCTCTCCTGAACTTCAAGGCAGTAGTTTCATTAATTTTATGTAGCTGGAGACTTTTCAATTTGCTTAACAGGGCTGAAGTGCTTAGCTTTGTATTGAATGAACTGTCAGTGGTCTGCCAGGATTCAAAAGATTTGTAGGAAGGTGCTTTTTAATTTCCACCTTCTCCTACAAGATCTGCACCTCCTAAAGTACTGTCTGGGCTTTTCTTTGATCGGGTGTATCAAGTTTTTGTAAATAGTTAAACATACTAGCTGAAATGAGTGTATGAACTTCATCAGGATCAACATAAGGTGCAGGTTCAGCCTGAAATACTTGCCTTTTGGAAGAAGAATCTGACCTTCTTGACAACTTCTGATTTCACTTTTTTATCTTTACAGTTTTATTGTTAAGTCATGAAATAGCATTCCATGCTATTAAAAAAAATCTTATGCTTGGAGGCTGTTTTGGTAGTGTCTAACTGAACTGGCAGCTTTGAGGTACCAGTACTTCGTTGTGCCTGCCAGAATAACACTTTGAACTTTCCTGAATATTTTTTTCTAGCACATAGGTTTTTACCTAATTAAGTAATAATGTTGGACTGGTAAGAGCAATAAATGTGAGTAAAATAACTTTCATTTCTGTGCAAAAGTCATTGTAATATTAACTGAATTTTAAGATGAAAAGATGGAGACAATCCATGAATGTGGCTTTTTGATCTATTTTGAATGTTTTATCTTTTAAATAATTGGTTATTCATTTTCTTAAGTCTCAGTGTTCCAAGCTCAGTAACCACTTCTCTTAATGCTGCTGGAGGTGCCATATTACCCTGGCTTATTGAAGATATATGTGAAGACTTTGAAGATTCAAAATTCTATAAAGTGAATAATGTTCTTAGCATTGTAATTACAACCAAAGCAATCTTGAGAAAGATGTGCTTGCTGAAGTGGTGCTTTTAATTACCAAAGGAATCTCTGCATCTGACATTGCTTTGGAGTATGAGAGAATGTATTCTGTTATAAGTTTACCGTGGCTTCACTTAAAAGTTGGATAATTAGCTCTGAGTTTAAATCAAATATTTGATTTAGTAATAAATCTATCTTAATACCAATATCTAAATCTTTGTACAGTGATCTTTATACATAGTCCAGTTTTCAAAATTTTCAAAATTTAGCAAATTGTTTTTTAGAGTGAAAAGAGGCAATACTATCAATGTATTTTTCTCAACAAAAATAACAATATAATATAAAAATAGCAGTATAATATTAAAATAATGTAGTAGTGTGTGATGATATATAATATATTTTGCTATATAAGTACTGTAATAATGCCATCTATAACAGTATGACATATAATGCTTTTATATCTCCTATCATGAAAAAGTATACTTTATGTATATTATGAATGGGAATTTTAAGACATTTATCTACTTTCTTTTTCCTTTTAGGTTTTATATGAACAGTTCAAGTTTTTCTTGAATCTCTATTTTCTCATCGTGTCCTGCTCACAGTTTGTACCAGCACTGAAAATAGGCTACCTGTACACATACTGGGCTCCTCTGGTAAACAGAAAAATACTATTAACTGGAAATTTGGGGGTTTTAATGTCGATGAAAGGTTCATGTCTATGTACATTGCATAAACCTGCAATTGGTAAACTACAGTGGTCAAAGAACATAACAGAAGTAAAATGCCTATTTGAAAGCTGTTCTTTGACAGCCTTCCCTTCCACTTGCCTGCTATGCCTCTGCCCCACAGGCGAGGTTGTTTTTGTTAACCAGCATGTCAGTGTGTAATGCTCCATGCTGCCTGCTGGTCACTCAAGTTTAAAAAAAAACAACCAGCAAAAAAAGCTCAAGCTACTAAAGAAACTTACTGGGTAACATAGGTAATTTCTGTGTTAAATACCTTTCCATTTATTGTTATTTGGTGACTATTTTGTGTTTTCAGACTAGGCCAGAATTGTGAGCATAAATTTTTTGCATTCCTTCTGTATCAGTTTTGATCACAACCTTTTCTCGCAAAAATTGAGATAAAATATTTTAAGCCGTGGGTAAATCAGGAGGAAATTGTTCCTTGAAAAGAAGTTGTTAATTAAACATGCTTCTCCTAATTGATCACCCTGCCAGTTGCACTGGCTTTCTTTTGATACATCTTTTTATTATTGAGCTCTCTGCAGTATTTTCTTGGGAAACTGCTCAAACCACTTGCTTCTGACTCAGGTTTCCTATGGTTTGAAAACTGATTTCTTGTCAGAGATGACCCTTTTGGTAGTCTGCCAGCTATATTGCCATGATTTGCAATTATTTTCTTATTTGTAACCAGAACATTACCTTTTCTTTCATCTTCTTCCCAGTCCCTCCACACTAGGTTTAAAGGCAGGAAGAGCAAATGACTTATGTTTTAAACTTTTTTTGAAAATTGGTATTTTTCAGTAGCATTTATTTTCAGTAGTATTCAAGAAGAACTGTGACATGCTGACTGCTTGAGTAAAGGTCATTCTTAAGAAGTCAATAGAGTAAATATTCTGGATTGATTTAATTGTTTTAATTGTTGTAACGTGTGTTCTTTTAACTATGGATAAATAGAGAGACCATCCTAGATGTTCTTCCCACCTCTTTTCCCAGAATTTTGCTTCTTCTGCAACAAAAAACCACTTTCAAGATAGAAAGCTTGTTCAACAGTGGGATTTTAAATGGGTATTTACAAATCTTTGTCACTGACAGAGTAAAAAAAGACAGAAGTCAGCCTTGTCCGGAAGTTGCTCTATTCACCATGATGTACTGTGTACAGCACTATACATTAGTGGGATAGTAAGGAAAATAAACAGGTAAACCCTTAGCATCTCAGCTCATTTCTATCCTGCTCAAAGGGAGAAAGTACTGTATTTTGTGAACACTAGTGATCTGTTCTTTATAAATATGTTTGTATTATTCAAAGGTATTTTGAATTATGCATCCCAGTTTTCACATATAGCTTGAAAATACCAATATCTCAGTATGGTTTTTTTTGCTAAACTCACTTGATTCTGCTTTAATAGCTTTTCTACTAATAATCAACTTCCAGGTAAAAGGCAGCAATTGAATGTTGAGCAAAGCTAAGCATCTATGAGGAAAAAACAAAACATTTAAGTCTGATCTGTTGGTCTGCTTCTGCTGCTTAACAGATAACTGTAGGTTTTTTTGAAGGACATGTAACTACTGATAAATCTTCAGTAATAATCAGAGGAGTAGCTATGACTTGTATTTACTCTCAACATTTTAAAGGAAAATTGTTTGCCTTGATACATAAAACCAAATGACTAGAAGCTGACTATTGCTAGAACTGTTTGGGTTTTTTTTTGATGGTGTATGTGGATTTTGTGCGTTGTTTTGTTTGGATTTTTTTTGCCTGTGGTTTGTTTCAACAGTTTTTTACAACACAGATACAGTTATATCAAGCCCCAAAGTTCTTAAAACAAGACTATTTTGCTAATTTATTTTCAATTGCTTTAGGGAATAGACTTCTCGTTTGCACTCCAGCATACAAAAAGTTTTGAAGGATACAGGTTTGATTGTAGGCAGTACATTAAAGATACTTACCTGCTTACAGTTAAAGAAAGATGACAGGTTCCCTTGTTAAACTGACTTCACAATTTTAGCTCTCCTTTGGAAGAATATCAATTTCCTTTGAGCAAGTGAGTAAAAGGAGAAGTGTCTTTTTAAATTGTTCCTCATAATCATGAGGTCAACTGTACTCAGCTGCTCAGCAAGAGGCTGTTGGAGGAAATTCTTGCAAGTAACACCTTGCATTCTGTGTTTTGATTACTGTCTAGTAACAAGGTGTGTGCAAATGAGAAATATGTTTGAAGGTGCTTCAGGAGTGCCCTTTTTTATGCTGCTTAAATATCTATATTGCCAAAGCATATGAAGATACTGCTGTCAGAAAGGGAGAAAAGCTGATTTTTTTTCATTCAATTATGCCCTGTGGAGTAAAAAGAGAATGTTTTTTGCATAGGCCATTTTTTGTTCTATGTAGTTCCACTACAATTGTAGCCAATGTAAACTTGAACAAATAAGTAGTGCTAAACTACAAGGTCACAGCTGGATAAGCCTTGGAACTTTGGTCTGGAACTGCAAAACATTGCTAAAATTGGTAGGAGGATTTTAGTCAGCACTTTTAGGAAAACTCTACACCTTCATTCCTTTCATATTGCTGGGATATTAGGGGAAGTTTGGCAAACTGTGGACTTCTGCAAGAGAAATCTAATGGCATACATTTTCTTCTATAAAGTTGTGTCTGTCTGAAGCTAGATAGATAATGTAGAATCTTATTTGTTGGTGGATTTGTTAATATTTTAATTTTAAATCCATCTTGTAATAATGAAAGGTCCTTTTACTGGTAAAAATTTTCTTTCTCTTTCATTGATGAACTTTGAAAAACTCAAGTGCTGAGTCTAAGCCAGAAGATCTGATCTGAGGAGATTTAGAGAGGTAGAGAGGAAATTTATGTGCTTACCCCTGAATTGTTGTGTTTTTTAGCTTACCACCCTTTCTAGCCAGAGACCATCACAGCTGAGTGAAGCACTCTGTGCACTTCCAGTAGAAGCTGCAGTAGTCTTGTCTGTGAAAGGAGCAGCCAAAGCATTTAGACACTTAGTTTTTCAGAACAAATCCCTTTTCCTTTGTCCTTATTTGTGATGTGTTGCTAAATAGCTACATTTAAGATGCAAAATTATAGAACTAGCCATCCATTTATCTTTTTCTTTTTATTAGGAAAAAGGCAAATTTTCAGCATTAGAATTGGAGGGTTTTTAAATGTTTCTGGTAAAGCCCTAAAGTTTGTAGATGATAAGGAAATAAGCTTATTGAAATTATAAAGGCTGTCTTTAAGTAATCCAAAACATCTTCCTTTTTTGCATTTTGAAATGCTGTCTAAATTATATGTATTTGGGCAGGTAGTTAATTATATTTGTACAATGTGCAAGTCTGATTTTGTTTTTCCTGGACTAAACCAAGATACTATTTTAATTTACTGAATAAAATACTCAAATTCAAATTAAAAAAAGAAAAGTAAATGTTCTGAGCACATGTTCTTACTCTGTGTAGTGTTCCTACTTGTCTATTTCTATTCTAGCACTTAGAATTCTGAACTGCATAATTGTGTCTTTAACAGGGATTTGTTTTGACGGTCACAGTGGTACGGGAAGCTGTTGATGAATTTCGACGTTACAAGAGAGACAAAGAAATGAACTCACAGTTATATAGCAAGCTGACAGTACGAGGTTAGCAACTCCATTTTATAAATCCTTAAAATATTTAATCTTTTTCTTATATATATATTTGCAGGCGTTCAGTTCAAAGAAATAACTAATGGTTTCCAGCTGTAATACTCAGTATGAAACTTACATTCAACTAAATAAAGCAAGTGATTTTCCTTAGACAAATGTGTTTGTTAAATTTGGCCTGTTTAGGAATTTTGATAAATATTTGGGTGTTTGTCAAAGAAAGATGTATGTATATAATTGTATATATTTTTTAAGAATTCTGGTGTTTAGTACCCTGACGTCGAAGAGCAATTTACCTCTGAAATTGATGCTGAACAGTAACTCAACAACATTGTTAACTATGTATCAATCATATATAGGAAATAAAGGAGTAGTAAATAATGAAACTAATTAAAATTCCCTGGAGCTTTTCAAATTTGGTGGATATATTTGTGCTCAAGAAAAGGAAGGTGTATTGTAAGTCAGCTTCAATATAAAAAATATTAGTTTGAATTTTTGCATGTAATTTGAAGTCTGTTTGATCATGCAATATGGAACAGCCAGTTTTCTTTAATGAAAGGAGAAATCAGTTATGACTTTTTTTGGACTCAACACATTTAACAGGTTTTTGTGAAGACTTTTAAGGAAGTGAAGCACTTCAGATGTGAAGTGACAATTACATTTGGTAGGATATTGTAAATTTTAAACGTGGGCAGAAGAGAGAACTGTGCATTGCTCTTCACTTTTATGTGCTTAGCACTTCTTACTGTTAGATTCAGAACATAGTACCACATAGAAAGAGGCAAAAAATTGTTATCAAACCTAGTTAATAACCTTACAATATGACCTTGCTATTACCTTCAAAAGGTTTTTTTTCTTTGTTAATGATTTTCCTTGGCATAAAAATTCTAAAAGGGGGAAGTTAAGGGAATTTGAGGCGGTACCTAAGGCAGTTAGAGTATATGGCAGACATTGTGCCAAATGTAAATTCTTTTTACTTCTTCCTAACATACATTTCAGTGCACTCTTTAGTATATCTTGGTGAATATTTTCTGAAAGTCAGTGGGAAGAGTAACATCACCAGGTTTTGGAATCTTGATTAGAAACTAAACTCATGGAGTAGCTCTGGATAATATTCTCTCCAGAAAATAAATGGATTAAAAGCTTGTAATTTAACACAAGTATGTTCTGTATGTTCCCATTTTTTGGAGTAATTGGGAGGTAAACAAACAGTCAGCAATCTTGTTAGAGATGGCATAACTTAGCAGCTGAGAGGCATTCATGCTGCTTCCTTGCCGTGTGGATACTTGTATTGTTTTTTGGAGTTTCCATCCTGAAGGGAGCAACTGTCGGGAATAGTCTCATGTTCTTTCTTTCCTTGTCAGTCTGAGATAGTGTTGTCAACATTTAGAAGTACAGCTGTTGAAATTTGGCATATGGGACAATTGGCATAACTATAATTTGTTTAACACAAGGGTTTTACTGCTGGCATCCAGATCTTTTTTACAGTCATTAATACAGTCTGTTAGGAAATGGACTCTTAATGGCTTTTGTTTCAAAGTTGTAATTTAAACTTCTAGTTAGCCTATTCATTTTTTAGATCTTTCATGGTAGGCCACTGAACACTCACCTTGAAATGGATTGTACAATCTTACCCTATTCAGCAACAGTGTTAGTAATCTGAAATTTTTAATTCAGGAAACACATGTACATTTTATGGTTACCTTTGTGATGTACATGTTAAGAGTGGCATTTGCTCTTTTAAGAGCAAAGTGTGGTGCCTTTTGTGACTGTTTCTTAAACCTGTGTTAGAGTTAACAGACATTTAAGCAGCATTTAAGTACAAGTTTTGGGATTGCAATTTCCTCTTTCCCTGCTCATGAAATATTTTATGAGGGTATATGTATTTGAAAAACCCTTCATTTTGTGGCTTCTTCTAGAAATAAGGATGGTGACAATGAAAATTAGATTTGGTCACCTTAGAGATTTAAAAGTAGTATACAGTAATGTATGGGTAAAGCCCAGCAGTTATATCAGGAACTGACACATAGAGAGAAGGGACTTATTAAAAAGAAGCTTTAAAAATGCCCCTTTTTAAAAAAAAGGGTATCAGCTTTTAACCTACAAGAGTGTTTGTCATTTTGACTTTCAGATTTTGGTGTCAGTGCCATCATGAATTCATACTTGAATTTTGTTCTATTTTATGTGTTTTTTGAAGACTGGTCCTCTACAGAAGTAAAGATTCAAAAACTGCTTAAAATGAACTCTGAATCCCATGTTGACAATTATGTGTGATCATTGAATTAACAATTTTGAGTAATAACTAATTTTAAGAGTGAAAACATTACTGCAGTCATCACTCAGAGTTGTACTACATGTTGCCACAAACCCATATATAAAATCATAAGTAGTGATAAATTTCACTTTTTTCCTACTATAGGGTTCTTCCATAATGAGATATTCTGACAAGTAGAGGTATAATTTTGGTACAAAAAATGGGACTTCCTCCCGTCATAATATTAGACCAAAACTTTTTACATGTTATAAAAGATGTAGCTTTATTTATCTGTGTAAATTAATAAAATCAAGTACTTTGCTTCCATACACTATTTAAAAAAATAACTTTCAATATAATTACCTAATTTTTTCATATTGACAGTATTGTTCAAGTGGAAAAATTTGGTTAAGCCTACTATACTAAAGTACAGGCTAATAGTTTGGAGAAAGAAGGCTTTGTTTCTTGTGAATGAACAAACTTGATACTGATTTAATTAAAAGCCTGAAAACTGACGTCACTCTTAAGAGTCACTTTTCAGAGTGGAACTGCACTTTATACTGCTCTAGCATTTTTTTTTTCCTAATGATTTTATGACTTGTGCTAGTTTTACAGTCTTCTATTTGAAATATTTATTTTTTCCACCTTAAAGTGAGAGAAACTGACATAGGGATGTTAAGCAGGTTGCCCATGCTCAAACTGGACAGTGGAAAAACTTAAAATTAACAAGACTCAGTGTTCAGTTTTGGTTGATAAAAACGAAAATTTAATGAAAATAATATCTAGTTAGTTGTTTTCCAAATTATGTATTTACTAAAGGAAAATAAACATATTTTTTGCAGTAGAAATTATTGGGATCTAAGTTGTGATTACTTCCATAAAGATAGTGTGGGTCGGTTGATTTGTAAACTAATTTTTTTTTATACAGTGCTGCAGAAGATTAAAATTGAAAAGTCTGCAACTATCTATCAGGTTTAACTTTCTGTTGGAGTCTTCCTTAGTCTTGGGGAATCCTAAACATGTGAAACATGTGAATGCTGTCTTATGACTTGCATGTTGCTAGTGTAACAACTATCAACTTTTGAGGATAAGAGTATTCATGCTAGTACCTGTTGAAGACTTAGAATTTCTTTCTACTAATTAAAAAATTTGAATATGTATTTATTGTAATCAGCTTTTAAAAATAATAATGAGCAGGAAATCAAGGGGGGATGGGACATCTCTTTCAAATGTTACTTATTTGTAGTTGGACAGGTATTGACCAGATTAACATCTGTAGGCTAATTCTGATTAATGAGATATTCAGTGATATACAGTTCCCTATTTGTCATGTAACATGGAAAAGTTCGCCATATTGGATGGTCACCCCTTGTTGAATTTGCAGTGTGTAACTTTGCACTTTGTGAGTTGATGAACCTGCTAACCATGAAGTTTGAATTGTTTCTATTTTTTGAACCCTTCATGGCGAGTGATGAAACATGCAAATCAGTAAATGCGTTGAAGTCTTTAAGTGAGCAAGTCAGTTAAGTGTACCTTACACTAAGTGTCTTGTGTCTGTCATGTGATTCTTTTTCTTTGTTTACTTGATGCTTGATTTTTGTATCGAATATATTGCATTGTTCAGTGTATGAGGAATTCTGCTGTCCTAATCTTATCAAGATGTTTGCTGCAAAATCTGCTTTGCTGCATATGAAATTCTGCAGATCCTCAATAGACAGTTTTCAGTCAGCATTCAAGTTGAAGTTGGAAGGAGGAATTTCTGTTTCAGAGCAGTTCACCTACATATCCTTTTCTAGAGTAGAAGACTGCATAGGGAAAAAAATTAAACCTGGGCATGCAGGATTGGGAGGTCTGTTTTTCTCACCTAAAGGACAATTATACTTTTGACACAGTTTATTCTCTTGTGCACTTAGGTATGACCAGTTAAGTGCCTATAAAAGACTGCTATTCTGAAGTAGAATCACCTCAAGCTTATATAAAGGCTATTATCTATTTCATTAGCCTGTGAAAAGCCTATTTGGATAATAAAATTGTAAAGCAATTTTAACTCTTCTTTTCTCCCTTTCCATTCTTGAAGTTGGCAGTTCTGAACCTTTCTTAGTGAGGTTTGTCTGTGCAGTGTTACTGAAGTTTCCAAGAAAAAAAAAAGATCAAGAATAACTTACTTTTACAGTCACAACTACTAGTGGCAGAAGATGCCTGCATCTGTCACTTTATCTCGTAATGTTTAACATGTTGCAGAACTCTCACTTTGCAACATGCAAAGCAAAAGAAAAATTGAATGTCAGGAGAGGTAAGTTCAATGAAATAATTCCATCCAGGATTCAAGTGTGAAAGCTTAGGTCTTGGCTGTATCCTTAAAAGCTATTAAGGAATGTAACAAAGTTGAAAGCATACATTTAAAATTGTGTGAAATTAAGAAAATATCAATAACCAGTAATTACTATACAAGAGGAAAAAGTATGAAAGCTAGTATGTTTCTTTTGGAGACCCAAAGTGATTTCAATTTTTTTTTTGTTAGAATTTCAGCTCTTCAAGAACAGGTTGTCCCTCTGCTTTGAAAAGCCAGTCCATTAAGAAACCACACTGTATCTGAGCCTAGAAGGTACCACATTAGGTCATTATTGCTTGTAACATTTCAGACCTATGGATGATTTTATTCCTGATATCCAGACCATTTGCAACAGACAAGTTTTTTGAAAATTACATAAATTTTATCTGATTATGGAATCAGTACTACCAACAGAACAGAATTTGAAATTTTAATGTAAGAGAGAATTTTAAATAGAGCCAGAAGAGAGGAAAAATCAAGGGGACTGTTATTCCACTTTTTTGCAGTATTGAGGAGATTGGATAAGGAAGAATTTCACCCAAGAGTAGACAGGACACATAGGAGAGAAGCTAGGAAGTTTTTTTGTAGAATTTTACAATTGGTGGTAAAAGACTGACCTTTCTTTACTACATAAGATAGTTTGAAAGAACAACCTACAGACCGCACTTGGTCTGAAAAATCAGCATCCTCACCTTGGGCTCACTGGAACTTTGTTTTTCTTCACTGCCTGCCTGCTGTGTTCTCCTCCAACTCCCCATTATGTTATGTGTACTCTAATTATGCTGACAGTCAGGAAGAGCTTTCATATGGTCTACACTGCCATCAGTCAAAAGAGTTTTATATTTATGGGTTAGAGGCAAGTGCTATTACTAACTCCACAAACAGTACTTCAGACAATATTAAAGGTACCATGGGTAAGGTGTAATAGCAATTTTAGAAGAATTTGAAAATGCTGTTTTCAGAAGTGTCTGCTCTTTCAAGAGTAGCAGTCAGGTGATGGAGACACTTTTTAATAAAAAGAAGCGTAGTTTATACCCACATTTTGTTTACTTCATTTCCTGTTACTTTGTGTGAAGTACTTGTTAGCACATATGAGATATTTATTAGTTTTTCAAATCATTGCAGTTCATTTAAACTGGTTTATCTCGGGAGTATAATGACTTACTGCAGACACATTTCAGTGTTCCTGTTCTGCATAATTTTATACATTGCTTTAGGCGAAAGCCTTGCGCCTTGGTGGACTATAAAGTCTGGATGCACAGCCACTTCTGACAGCTTTGGACTTTTTATTGGTAATTACACAGATGGTGAAGTGTGTTTTGCTATGGAGATGTTTTTAGAGAAAAAATAGTTTGCAAAAATAATTTATGCAGTGAATAACATTCAGTGCCTTTTTTTCCGAAATGCATCTTCACGAAGATGTAGTATTGCATTGTTTTAATGTTCTCTAAAATGGTATCTAATGAGTCTCATTTTTGCTAGCCTAAAAAAAGCGTTCATGTTGACTTTCCAGAATTTCAAGTCACTTTTTTAATTACTGCCACATTTTATCATTTAGTATTTAATGTAATATATCATGCCATTCAAATTTATTGTAGAATTGTCCTATGTGTATGTAAGGCCTTTTCCTTATGTGTGAGGATGTACAGGTTGATCCAACAAGACATGTTAATGTCTAATAAAGAGAGCATTCTCCTTTATACTAAGCCACCTAGAAAACAGTCTGATAAGGAAACTTTTCAATTCATTAAGTGACATTCCTGGAGTTGCTAGATGAATTACAAACAGAGGTGCAGTGTGGGTTCCTCTTAGTGTACTTGGCACCAAAAATGTTTGCTTTATGTTTGCCCTACATCATGTTGCACATGAATGTTCTACCTTCTCTTGGTCTTTCAGGCTTAGTGTCTTTTGATCTTTACTGTAGGCGCAGTTATGGCCTGATTGTGGAAAATCTCATTGTTTAAGCTGATAAAATTGCCAGTAGTTGCATTTGGTTAGTACCTTGTGTAGTTTTACTCATACATGACCGTATATGTAGTGTAGATCTGAGACTTGACATAGCTTGTGCTAGAATTTTTGTGGCTGATACTGCTATCATCAAGTGATTGACTGATAAATTGATGAAAAGTGTTAGCAGAAGAATAGAAAACAATATAGGTAATGCTATTCTTTTGAAAAAGCCAGCAAACTTAGAAAGCGATGTTACAATGTTTCTTCTGGTACATACTGGTACATATTTCTAGTCAAAACTTCTGAAATTTTAAGGAGAATTCACAGGTTTGTGCAGGTAAGCAGGTGAAATGTATTGATTTTATGTCAGACAGTTCCTTTAGTGGTTGAGTTTTAGTATTAGTTGCTTTAAATTAAAAAAAAAAAAAAAGCTTTTGATGCATTGACCCTAATTTAATTTCCATAGGTATCTCAAAACTCTTGTAGAAAATTGCTGATGTTCTTGCTACAGCTTTTTATACCTTCTGAAATCTTCTGCTACTTCCTCTGCCCTCACAAATTTATCTATTGAAGGTAGCATTTCTCTTATATTTGAGAGCAGAGGACAGAAAGTGCTTTTGGCGAGTGAAAAATGGAACTAGTGTAAAAGGTAACTATCAGTAGCAAAGTCTGGCTCTCAGAAGTAACTTTGCAGACAGGCCAAACAAAAATTGTGATTTTTCCTGACATTGCACATTTTTGAAGTGCTATTTTAATGGAAAATATATTAAATATTAGCTGTATGTTACAGAATTACATCTATTATTGACTGAATTAGACATAAAGCAACTGCCGCTTTTGCATGAAATTTTAAAGAGCAAGTACTCCAAATAATTACTCATAATGTGACTCCTACTGCCTTTTACTAAATGTAAATATAAGGAATTATGGTCTCTCTTTATTGAGAGTTGTAGTGAGAAGGTCTCATGGATTTGCATCCTACCCTAGTTTTTTTTGTTATACTTAGTATAAATGAGCTGTGGCTGTGCATTGACAAATCTGCCACTCATAGTATTTTTGATTAAACTTCAAACTTTTTGATGCTCATTCTGTGCTTTTTTGTGTCTTCTGTTCTAATTCATTCCACTTGTCATTTAGAACTCTAACACCTTGCCATGTTTTGACATACTTTCCATCTTATACCTGCTGCTTGGAATCATGGTAGTATTTCTGCTGAGGGAAGATCGTACTTACAGGGGGTGTATTTCAGCTCAGCAGGCTATTCAAATATGTGTGTGTGTATATATCCTTAGGGGATTTTGGGTTTTGGTTTGTTTTTAACTCAGGGAAGCCACTTTATTTTGAAGTTGTAGGCTTGGGACTAGAACTCCTGAATTCCACTGAGATCAATAATAACATATTTAGGACAATAGCTTCACCTTTCTGTCTCAGTTTTCCAGTCCATCAAATAAGAATGCTAAAACTTAAGAGTCTTACAAATAATAATACCCTACAGAATGTATGGAAATTAAATTGGAAAATGTGTATATTTTTGGGTGAGTTGTTCACAGCAGTTACTGAATGGGCAGCTTTAGAAAATGAAAAACTCCTGTTTCAGCTTTGTATATTTTTATTTTCTAGAATTAAATCTTTAGGCATTTCTTTGACTTTAAAGAGGTTTACGTCTTTTCTGCTACAATTGCCAACATTATCAGATGGTGCCAATTACATCAGGAACTTTAGTGGTCAAGCAAAGGTTCCTGTTGGTAACTGTGCTGTGAATAACAATTCATGTGTGCAAGACTGCCCATGACTATAAACCTAACAATTCTTGTCAGACACAGAAGTGCTGGATAGTAGATGTGAAAGATTCCTCTTTCCAATTTTACAACTCTATTACAGATACTATAGATCAGACTTGAGTATATGCCATATGTATTTTTTCTACTTCTGCAATAGCTAACTGGTTACAAAAGTGGAATTTTTTAAACCACTGGGTTATTTATTCAAACAGATGGAATGTATTTATCAATGTATTCAGCAGAGATCTGTTTTGTATCAATTGTAACATTTTCACTTAATAGTAGCATCTATAAATAACACTTGCATTCTGGGATTTATGTTCTTGTTATTCTTTATTAATGTTGATTACATTTCTTCTTTTTTTTTAAGGTAAAGTGCAAGTTAAGAGTTCAGACATACAAGTTGGAGACCTCATCATAGTGGAAAAGGTTGATACTTTTAAAATATATTTTAGAGACTAAAGATTATTTACATGCTAATTATCTTCTGAAGAAAAGTGTATCAAGGTACTTATCTGTGAAGTCCTAACTAGCTAGTATTTTAGTTCAAGCCCTATTTTAGAATCTTCAAGGAAGTCTATTATAGAATTAATTATATTTTAATTAATTATATTTTAATTAAATGTATGTATTTATATTTTATGAATAGTTATATGCTTAAATCAATCTTGTGAAGGGAATACAAATACAGAATTAAATTCCCTGACATGTGCTGTGCTGAATGTTTTAAGATGTCTCCTTACTGATCCCTTCCTTCTGATGGCTGAATCAGTGTTTCTCTCTCTGAAAATTTCAAGGATCATCTTAATTTATGCATGTGTGTGTGTGCGTGTGTATATATATATTTATATATTTGTATAATTTTAATATAATATGTATCTAACTATATATAATTAAATAATAAGAATATTTGTATGGTTTTTAATGGACAGAAAGCTTTCCAGTTTGTTTGCAGATGGTGAGTGAGAGCTGTGAATTCTTCTTTGCTCTATATTAACATTATAATAAAGATTTTTGCTTATTTCAATTACCTTTCTGGGCTACTAAGAAATTATTGTAATCTTAGAAGTCAGCTTAAATTTGTTGTCAGAGGTAACTATTTTTGCTTAGATTGATTCTGGAAAAGTGACTCACTTTCTGGGAGCCTACAACTAATTCCCATTATACTTTGTATCAGAGAGCTGATCCATTGAGGTGCTGGAAGAAGGCACCTAAAATTGAAGCTTGTATCTATTTCTGCTTGGTTTGGAAAACTTCTGTTTCCTTCATTTCTGTTTCTTCTAGTTCAAAGAAAAAAACAATGCACCCAGGTCTCATATGGCTTGCTGCTCTCAGCTTAAAATTTTTATGTAGTTTTCACCATTTCTTGCTTTTTTTCCTGTTCTTTTTTGTCCACTCTGTGTACCTTGTATCTTTTTGGGCCCATCTGAGCAGCAAGTACTAGGCTGTATGAGAAAGGCACTGGTACGTCTGACCTTCACATCTGTTTTGCTTTATACCTTGTTACTTTAGAGTGCAGGTGGAATTGGCTTGCACATGCTTGCTTCTGTCTATTCCAGAACTTCTAGGAGACTGAGATATTTGCTTTGATTTTTATTAGGGAAGTTTTCTGGTTCTTCTTGAACTCTAAACCTGGAATTAATTATTTTAGAGTGTAGGGAAGACTCTGATGGCTACTTAGGTAGTCTGCCTTCCCTGAAATTCACTGTGATCCATCTGTCTGTTGGATTATACTAGAATTTAGAAAACTGGAGTTACTTCGGGGATCATTCTGTCATGCATGAAGTTGACAGAATTTGCAGTATTTGCAGTAGCTTAGAGCTCATATGTTGTGAGTACCTGAAGTTTCTAATGAAAAAGCCATGTTTAAGGATTTAGAGAAATAATGATTAATGGGCTTTTTGATGAAGATTTTAGTCAGGTATTATCAGTAAGATGCATATAATGGTTTGAATGTAGTATTTCAGCTTCAAGTTCCCTACTGCCCCACAGAGCTGTCTTTTTTCCTTTTGACCTAGCTGGGGGTGCTTTCAGGGTAATGAAATTAAATGTCTTCTGGTTCTGTTGAGGAGTGTATTTTGTTGGAGCAAGCAGTTTTCAATTTCAGAGTATGACTCTTACGCCAAAGAACCAGTCAGGAGTGAAATGTTCAATTGCTCACTCTAATGGCAGAGAAACAAGTTAACATTGTATTTGACTGGTAGATACATCAACAGCATCTGCAGTGAAATTAATGACTCATTTGAGCTGAAGATCCATATGTTAACTAGTAACTGCATCACAAATACTAACAACTTAAGTGAAAGGCTTTTCTAGATTTAAACTTTTCAAATACTGTGATTGTCTTTTTTTTTAATAGTCCTAATTAATTTCAAAGTATTTCTTAAGTGACTGTAATATGCTTAAAGTGGTTTAGTTTTAAGTGATAAATCTATTGTTCCAATTGAAAATTTCATATAGCACTATTACTAGGCAGGATGAAGCCTGAACAGATGAAAACATTGCCTAATTTTAAAAGCTCCAAGACATTCATATCTGTTAGCTGAAAAATGCCTTGAGCAGCCATGCTACTTCTGGATGTTCTCCTTGGCTTGTGTTGAGATACATTTTTAGTTTCCAGTGGAAGCACAGATGTGCAAAGTGTTCCTAAATAAGACAGTTGAATGGATGAGTTGTTGAGTTCAGATATTGTTATTTAGACATTGTACATTATTGACTGTTTGGAATACATTTTGGAGATGTGAGGAGGGCATAAACTCAACAACATATTTAGTTAATAATAATAACTACACATTTATGGGACAACATTTAACAATAACAACACATAATAGTGATTTAAAGCATGAGAACAGTAGTGCTTTTTCCTCAAACCTTGAGAGCTTTTCTTGGAGTTGTAAGGTACACAATTTTTACCTTAATATTATGTGTAAAGTGAAATGAATCCTGTACTTGCAAGGATTGCAGCTAATGCTAACATGCAGTATTTCACAGCATGCAGATCCAGGAAGACAACTGGGAAGTGCCCGTTCTATTTATAACTCCGAAGCAAGTGGGAGTATTTCAGTTGATGACAGAAGTACGTGGTTCATTGCACGCATGGAGAAGGAAGGACAATAAATGCAGAATTCCAAGGGTCTGTAGCTATGCACAATTGAGGGGAATTGGAAGACTGACTAGGGAACAGGAAATTTTATGTAAATAACAATTTCTTGATAATAACATGAGAAAAATATAAAAGTAATTTGAAAGCTATGGAAGAGTATTTTTAAGTGAGTATTGTAGCTTGTGTTGCAGGAAAGTATAGATGTCTTTATGGGTTTTTTGTTTACCAGTCTGGCTGGTATTCCTGGACGGCATAGTTACTTAGGGGAACCCTGGAGCTGGGAAAGCACTTGCCTTGTATTGACCATTGGCTGGCTGTAGCTAGATCTCTAGGACTGAATCTGGAAGTCTGTAAACATTGAGATAAATGGAAGCTCCCCTTCTCTGGATCTCTGATTCTGCCCAGATTTAAGAAAAACATTGTATTCAAGTAATTTTCATTACTTATATATTCAAATTTCAGGATAGGTTAATAAGCATTTCTGGTATAATCTCCGTGGTAATTGAGATGATGTAGTTTTTTCATGGGTTTCTGGATGCTTGAAGTTGTATCTGTTGTCATTTTAACTTGTTCTACTTTGATAAATATGACATGAGAGGGCTAACGTGATTGACATACTGCTGCTGTTTGACTGTGACAATGTACAACAGAATTTAATTTTCTCCATAATGAGATGTTAAAGATTTTGTAGCATACTTGCCATCTGTTTCTATGTAGTCACACTTTTATAGTGACTAGGTATGTATCTGCAGAGATATCTTTGCAGATACATTTTGCAGATACATATTGCTCCAGAGTCAGCAATAATAGTGACAATGTTTTTGGTACCTAGTACTCCTGTAGTGTCTTTCTGCCCACTTCCACATTATGAAAAACCTGATAATAAAACAAGATGTCAATTTAAAGTACTTTAAAGACAAGTCAGTCTCTAGCCTTCCCTACATGGTAGGATACATTCAGATACATTTATGCAGATAAGGTTTCATTATTTTACAGGAAAGAAAAATGAGCAAGAGAGAGCACAAAAGAAAGAAAAATCAATATTTATTTTTTGTATTAAAATGAGAAAATATTCACATGACTAATTTGATCACAGTCTATAACTTTCTTATTGGGGGGCAGATGGGGAGGAGTGGCTGATCACCCTCTGGTGGTCAGCATCAGGACACAAGGAAATTGAATCACAATGGTATGCAGTGACAGTGCAAGGAGTAATGGCTTTAAACTGGAAAAGGGTAGATACAGATTAGATAGTAGCCAGAAATTCTTTACTGTGAGGGTGGTGAGACAGTGGAGCAGATGGCCCAGAGAAGCTGTGTTTTCCCTGTCTCTAGAAGAGTTAAAGGGCAGGCTGGATGGGGCTTTGACCAGCCTGGTCTAGTGAAAGGTGTTCCTGCCCATGGCAGAGGGTTGGAACAAGGTGATGTTTAAGGTCCCTTCCAACCCACACCATTCTAGGATTCTATGAATGAAGCTGTGTTAGGGAAAGTTCTGGGAAAAGGCTTGTCACTGAGAGGCTGGACAGTCACTGGAACAGGATTCCCAGAGAAGTGCTCATGGCACCAAACCTGTTTGAGTTGGATGATGCTCTTAGTCAAATGATTTAGTTATAGATAGTCCTTAAAGCAGCAGGGAATTGTGATCCTTATGGGTCCCTTCCAACTTCAGATATGCTATGATTCTGCCCAGTTTTGCCAGGCATAAAGTATCTGAATCTTGGATACTCTGTGCCAGGCTAATGTTTCATTCACTCAATATGAACTGAAATGTGTCCTCTGTGGAAATTGGTAGTGACTTGTAGGTACCTCCTTTGTATTACCAGAACTTTTATTTAATTTAGTATTAGATCATTTGACAGTTATTTTTGCAAAATTTTTGGATTTTGGTGAAGTGTTTTAGCTTGTTTACAAGTAATTGGAAGTTTGTAGGCATGAAGTCAGTAACCTGAAACTTGTGTAATGGATTTATGTCAGAGCTGTCAGGAGAGCTGCAAAAATGTATAGCTAATCTATATTAAGACTGGATATCTGTTTAATTGTTATTGTCATTTAAGGACAGAATTATTTAATTTTGAAGTTCCCTTGTCCTTTTTCTCTTTTTTTCCTTCTAATAGGTGCAGAATAATATAAGGATAATAATTTTTTTTATTTAAGGATAATATTTTTTTCTCCATTTTTTTTCCAAATTTGAATGAGATATTCCAACTTGAATCGCTGCTCATGGTGGATAATAAATTTCACTATATCCTTAATTATTAGCTCTTATAAATCTTGCATTTTAAGATTTGCTTATTATTAAAGAAATGCTGTACTAGTTACAGATGAACAGCCTCTTTAAGGTGCATACTGTTGGCATATAAGCAAGTGAACTTAATTTGTAAAAGCATAAAGAGTTACAATGGGAAATGCTGCAAATCAGGAAATATTAATGGATGAAAATGCATCATTTTAAGTTATGCAGAGGGTTTTTTTGCTACCTATGTAGAATTTTCAGGTAAACTAAAACATGCATCTATGTTTTAGTGTTTCCCAACTTCCTCATTTTTCAAGCTTCATCTTTGCTTATGATAGAAGCCCTCTCTGTAGCCCTTTATGGCCCCTCTTTACTGAACTTCCCATGGAGAATACAGTTACAATTGCTTCCAGTCCCATTTATAAACTGGTGTTGCTGAGAGTATATTCCAGGGAATGGTGAGAAGTACTGGTGTCCCAGAGATTCAGAGAGCTTGCATCATGATATTTTGGAAGCTAAGCCCATATAACACATAGTCTGGCAGCTGACTGTGGCAGATCTCTTCAGATCACACTATTTTAAATGACACTGTTGTGGTGGCATGCTGATTTTGAGAAGGTTTCTTTGGATTAATGGAAAAGCTTTTTTTTTTCCTTTCCAGTCCTGTGTCTTGCAAATTTTGATATGTTGGTTATTTTTGCTTTCTCTGGTGTTTCATTCCTAAACCCTGTGTTGGCCATGTGTAACTGGTGCTGGTAGATGCCTTGGGAACAAGTGGAAAGAGAGCTGAGGATTTGGGTGGTCATGTAGCAGATACCATGTGTGTGGGAGGCTGGTATTGTTCATTTTGTTTAACCTGTGAAAGCTTAGATTGGCTTTTCTGTGATCAACAAATAATTGAAAACTTGATACAGGCAGTTCTGTGCTGGAAAGGGAAATGATAGAACAGGTACATCTGACTGTGCATGTGATTCTATGTCTTAGTGAGGAAGAAATTCTGTTCATTTTACGTATGAGGAATAGGAAAATGCTGTTCCCTAATTTTCTATTTCCCCTGTGTGTGTCTGTGTGTATTGGAAGAGAGAAGAATGCTTGGTATACCTAACATTTGCAACTTGAGTGCCAACATAGATATTTTAAATTTACCTTTTTTTTTCTATTATGTGGGCTAACTGAAGTCAGAGTTTTGCTCAGTGAAACTGTTTTAAGATATTTTGATTACTTATTTATATACTTGAAGTACAGTTTTCAGTGAAGAAAATGTTAATCTGTTCTTCAGGTATTTATGATTCACTTATAAAGAACATCTGAAAGGATTAGCTGTTGTTTGCTTATGGTATAATTTTTCGAAAATATTGATTTCTGAATTGCAAATGCTGAATGTAAAGTACTGTGAGAAATCCTATTTTAATTGAGTTTCAATCCAAGTGTGACCTTTTGGTGATAGATCTTACTGGACTTTTGATTGGAATTCACTTTTTTTCGTACTTACAAAAAATATACTTTTTTTCTTTCTTCTTCTCTCAGAATCAACGAATCCCATCTGACATGGTGTTTCTGAGAACCTCAGAAAAAACGGGTACGTTTTCACAATTCACATTGGTTACATGATAAGTTTGTGATTGTGGTAGAATTTTAGATTGTACATTGTGGCCAGTTTGAAATGGTTAAATAGGTTCATGGAGCTCTACCTTCATCGCAGAAGAGAGTCCATATGTGACAAACACATTATGCTTCCACTGTAAACCAAGAGTAATCTTACTGTGAACATGAGACTTCTGTAGATATGTTTCTCTAAGTGAATGGTTTTATGAGCTGTTTTAACAAAAGGTTTAAATATTAAAATTGCTAAAAATATTTAGCAAAATTATAAGACTGCCTTTGATCAGTATGATTTGACATTATTTTCACATTTTGACATGATTTGCAACTGGACATTGTCTTGCAACATACATTTAAATGTCATCTGATTGTGTTTATGTTATTAAATTTGAAAGAACTCAAATCTGAACCTACTAATATGTGTTTAAAATAATTATGTTTGGAAAATTTATTACAACTCCTGAAATAAATTTTTTGGGTTCTTTTACTTCAAAATAATACTGCCTTTTTGGTCAGTCAAAAAAAAAGCTAAAAACCCACGAATTTTCTTGCATGAGAGAAAGTGCTGCTTCTTAGCTCTATTTCTCTTCACGTGGTGATAGGTGAGTACTCTTAATCTTTGGAAAACAAATATCTCCTTTGTAGGAACCCCATAAATTATAGCTGTTTTGTAAAGTTTAGAAATTACTACTGAATGCCCCTGTGTATAACTCAAATGAGTTTTCCTCCTTTATATTACCATTTTTCTTCAGATCCTGAAGAACTGTCTGGTATTTGTCAGAGAGCACTAAATTTCACAAAGCTAATAGCTGTGATATTGGTAAGCCCTGTATTAGTGGCATATAGTATTTCACTGTGGCACTGGAGTTCTATCATATATTTCAGATAAAAGCCTAAATTTGTAGAGATCATTTGAAAGAGAAGACAAAAATACTTCTGATAGCCTACGGAACTCCAGTAGAGCTATATATTTGCTAAAAGAATAAATTTCTGTATAGTTACTGTGTCTTGTTAATGCTGATTCAATGCAGTGGGCATCTGTAACTGGCCTGGAGTGACAAAGTCTTCTAGTGGTCTTATATAAGCTCCATTTTTGTTAACTACCCTCTGGTTCAGGGTACAGGGAATTTCTTTTTATTCCCTTTTAGAACCCCAATCTATTAAAAAGCCTAATTTTCTGTTAACTAGTTAACAGAAGCAGCAGGTTAACTAGTTTTATTGATGCTGCACTTCTTCAAAAACAAAAAAAAGACAGCAAAACCACACATAAATAATTTCCAAAACTTCAAGCATATGGCAGTAATTGTTTTTTGACTAAAGAGTGAACACTTACATCTGTAATTGTTTCTCCCTGATGTTGCAGTTTTGACTGATTTATGCTTTAATTTATAGTTGAAACTTGTAAGTACTTTGTGAAATAGTTTTTGTATGGTTTTATGTTCTATATGTAATTTTATCTTCTGTGTAATAAAGCAGTTTAAATATAGCTCCTTACTATGAATGTCTAAAGAGTAATGAACTCTTTAGAGAGTTTGAACTAATCTCAAAATCCAAACCTCCCTGTAAGCTTCTTTTGAGGTAAAGTACAATTTTCCAGCTTCAATATTTACATTACGTATTAATGTAGTCTGCAGCACTGCAGTATCCTACATCATCACTCAAAACCAGAAGCAATTTGAGTTATAAATAGGCAGCTTACAAAGTTCATCCAGAAACTTACCCCTCAATGCATTTTTGCAGTTTTCTAGGATACTTTTAACACTGCATAGCAGAAGCTGCATTCTGGGGTATCAAGCTTATCTTGATAAAACTAATTTCTTATTAGATGTATTTTTCCCTTTCTTTATCAAATGCATTGTCTTTTCAGTAGAATGATCTCTTCAAAGATCTGATATAATAACTTGATGTCAATTGTGTGCCTGTATCTAATTTCTAAGTTTCCTGTGTTTAGTAATCAGACTTTACAGAAGTTATAGTTTAAAGGCTCATATTGGTGGGACTTTCTTTTGTATTCATGTGACAGCCTGTAACATTCATCTTCCTCTCTTTCATGGATGGAGGCAGCTAGAATGCTGTTCATATTTTCAGTTAGGATTACTTCCCAGGGGGATGGAGCAGGTGGAAATCATTGCTCAAATGTGAATTCTTTGCTGCTGTCTGGTTCCCTGTATAACAGAGGTTTCCAAAAGATTTTCATTGACTTCCAAAATAAATAAAAATAATTTTAAGAAATTAGGCATGAGAAGCTTATGGAGTAATATGCTGGAGTTCTATGTATTTGAAAAGGTAGGAGGGGATTATCTGTGACTGACTCTTGATTTTACTCATTATATATGGCAGAAGTGACAAGCGATTTGGATGATTTGTCCCATTTATCAGCCTTCCACCAAATGAAAGGAAATGTTCATGCTGAGCTGGCTGCAAAAGATGGTTTAAATGTTGTTTTCATTTTCTGTATAAGCAGGCAGCATGCCAAAATCAACCGTCTACCTTAGTGTAAAGCTGTTTTCCAAATTTAGACAAGATCTCTGTTACACCAATACAAAAGTCCCTTGCTGAAATTAAACTAGATCTTAAGTGGCCCTTAACAAGACTTTCAGGATAATTTTTAATTTGTTTAGCATGTTCTCTGCATTTAATTTGTCTATATGCCATCTCAATCAAAAATCAAAAGCTAGACAGGGCATTCCAGAGATCATCATATAACTTTATAATTGTCCACAGAAGCTGCCAACTGAAGCGTGTGTTAATAACTTCATTATGGGAGTATCAAAGATACTGTGTGTGTAAAACACAAGAAAAATGTCAAAGATAAACTCTTTCCTTCTCTGAGCTCCAATCCTTGCACTCCACATTGGCTGTGCCTTGGTGCAGTGACTGGCTTCTGATCCGGGTCAGGTATTCCTATGGTAACACATTCTCTGAGCATGGGTCTGGTCCTGCCTGAAAATCTGGTGCATGTGACTATAAGACTCAGTGTTTCTGGAATATTGTTCTCTTTCTACTTTCAAATGTGAAATTCTGAGAAGAATGCAAACTTTATAGGGTGACTACAAAGTGTCAAAAAAGAATGAATGAAGCTTATTTTTTTTCCAGACAAGCCTTTTATTTACATGCCTCTAATAATTCCAGATTCTTATTATTCACGGTGAAAAGCTGGCAAATGCAGTGGCTAGTTCTGAGCTAAGCAAATGTTGATTTTAGCTATCAATTTTTGCTAGGTCCTGAAACAGATAACTGTTGGAGTTAGCAGCTTGGCTTTTCTTTTGTTCATATGGCTCTTTCATCCTCTCTTTGTTTCACAAAAACTCAGGCAACTTCCTAATTTTGAGATCATTGTGATGTCATACTAGGTTGAAATTGTCCACAAGTCAAAAGTTACTGGGAGAAAGATGGCATGGAAGAATAGCATTGTACATGGAATTACAGCTAAAGGAACTAATTGCCTACGTCTGCAGCTGGAATAGCCAAAGGGGTAAAAAGCTTTAGGTCTTGTGATATGCTCCATAGACACTAGGACTGCAAAAGATTGTTTCTGTATTCCTGCTAACTACTTAGGCCTATGACAGACTGCTAGTAGGATATTGACTTTCCTTAGTTGCTTTTTATAGGGGGAAGAATTGCTTAATCTTAGTCAAACCCTTCTGATTGTTCCCAAGGTCCTCTTTGTCACAGACAGTGCTTTGTGATGGTATGAAAAGTAGAGCTGGATTTTCTCTTTAGCCTTTTCTGGTGAAACTGAACTTCCAAAAGGTGAACAGGAAGTGGTTTTCCTGGTCTGCTTCAGCGTTCCTGACCATAGTATTTGAACCTAGCACATGTCTTCTGCATAGAGTTAAATTTTTTGGTAGACACTTGATTTCATGTAGAGTAACAGCCACTACTTCTGGAAAAGTAGTAATTTTTTTTTTTCAAGAGAGAGTACTGCATTAAAATATTTCTCTTTTAACAAACCTGTAAAAGCTCATAAAAAAGATGTAGATGTCTGGAAAAATAAAGTGACAAATTTATTTTAATATCTCAGCTGCTTTAGATTTCTCAACAGCTACTAAATTGACAAAATAAGTTTTTGTTTTGGCTTGTTTTTTTTTTGATTGTAGAGGTGGTACTCTGGAGAGAGCAGCTCCCAGTGGCAGATCAGTTCCACTGCTGTCAAGCATACTCTCATGGAAACGTTTTTATCATAAACCAGTTTTGGTACTGTTTGTCCTTAAATCCAGTACATAATAACTTAGTGGTGTGGACATTGCAAAACACCATCCACCACTACAGCTGTGCAATGCAAGCAGTAGGGAAATGGAAAATAATTTAAAAAGTCTTACAGTCCTTTGTGAAGAACATTTAATTCTTTCCAAGGTAATACAAGTTGCACAGTTGCTGCATGCAGTATTTTTCAGGCCACTGTTACATTGTTCTGGTGCTTGCTCATCAGCCCATTTCTCCGGCCCGTCAAGATCCCCCTGGACATTTCCCGTTGCATAGATTTGAATTCCTCTAATGAAATTATTTTAAAATTGTACATTTACTCGGGCATAAATTACTCGTTGCAAACATGTTTATATTTTTTAGAATTGTAGCAAAAAGAGTCATCTCCCTTGCATTAAAATTTGTAGTTAAGAGTTTTCAGGATTCTTTACTTGTAATTACTTTAACAACAATGGTATAAGTAAAATGTGGGAATAAAACAGGAAAATAATTTTTATTTTGTGGCTTTGTAGCAATTCATTTCTGTAGTAATATAACTCTCAGATGTGATTTTTATTTTAAATGCCAACCATTTAACTTGCATAAACTCTGCAATGCAAGTGCAGACTTAAATATTGCACTCATGCAAGTTGATTTTCTGTTGGAAGGAGCTGAGAGTTAACCAGTAAAGGCATACACCAGCGTCTACCATCTCAAAGTCTGCTCATTAAAGACATTTTTTGAAAATGATGAGTTCTTAAGCATTTCTGTACAAAAAGAGAGCACTGTGCC